TGTTCGGACTGCTCTGTGATCTGACTGTTTGGTATGATCTCTTGAATAGCATGCATTTCGGCAATGACACTTTTTGCAGGGATAACTATGTCATGCTTACTTTCATTTCGCAGGACCACTGGAAGCTTTTGTGAGGGTTTCTCAGCAAGGGTAAGTAGACAGTTGGTGACCAAGACACCACCTGGCAAGGAGGATGTAGAGGGAGTCTCGACTACTACCCACCCGCCTGAGTGTTCAGTTTTTGCGTGGACTAAACCCTCTAAGACTCGACTTTGGCCTGCAGGAATGACTTCAGGCTCTTTCCCTGACAGAGTGATAAGACCAAGGCTGTCGTCTTCTTTTTGCTTGTGTCTTTGTTGTAACACGCTCAGCACTACTCTATAACCATAAGGCAGGATACTGAGGTCTGTATTAGCCAAGGAGAGGCTTTCAAAGACAAGGTCAAGAGTGTTAGTGCCAATTAAGAGAGAAGACTGAACACTAGAGCGTGTGTCTGGAACAATTAATGCAAGAGAAGACACAGTAAGTTCAGTACCAAAACAGTTCTTTGGAAAGGTAATGTCGACACAAATATAGCCTGAATATGGGACATTCTGACCATTTGCAGCTTCGACTTCTAGCAGGTCCTGTATTGGATGGATTTCAAGGTCTGCAAGATTGTTTTCATAGAACGATCGGGACACTGTGGTCACTTGCGATCCGGTATCAAGAAGGCAGCTTGCAAGCTTGATCATTGATTTTTACTTGAGCAGTGTACTTAGCTCCAATTAGACCCTTGGGTAGTTTCACAGTGGCTGATTTATTGTTTGAGAATCGTTTTTTGGGTTTATGTGAAGGCTCGGTGGGACTAGTTTTGTCCGTAGCACCCATTTGTCCCGCAATGAGGGCTCCCTTTAGTTTAAAGGCTGTGTTTGCTTGTTTTGTCTATCCCACAGTAACTGTTTTTCTTTCAACTGTTTCCTTTTGTCAGCGACTAAAGACGGGTTTGGGTCATTTGGGCACACAGAGGCAATATGGCCGTCTTCGCCGCACTGGAAGCAGTAACCAGGCCTGGGCCTACTCTTCGCAGCTTGGGATGTCAAATGGGTTCGTTCGGGTACTTGAGAGTTGGTCTTAGCAGTAGCTTTTGGAGGGTTGGACTTTTTCCTAGGAGGGTTCGGGGTTAATGTTGCGAGATGGCTTTGAAGCTGACTGATTTGTGCCTTTAGTTCTGTGACCAGATCCTTTTGAGCATCTACTGGTGGGTCTACTTTCTGGGGTTTCAATCTCGTCAGTTCACTCTGCAGCGCAGTTATTTGTGTTCGCATTTCAGTGAGATCATTTTGCATGGTGAGCGCAGGAAAGTCAGCATCTGCAGCAATAGAGTGAGAGGCTACTTTTGGTCTGGTGGCAGCAAAATGTTTTTTCATTCGGCTTTCTTTTGCAGTATGCTTGTCCTCTTCTACTCTCAACTGTAGCAGCAGCTCAGTGAATGAGGGGGGTTTATCTTTTTTCTTTTCGAGCTGAAGATCTGTTAACAAGGCATTATCCCAACACCCCCGACAGAATTGACGCAGAAGGTGTCGGTCTGCTTCACTAGTTACGACACCGCCTCTTTTCAGAGCTTTTGAGAGAGCTGTTTGCAAGCGATGGAGGTAGTGTGAAGGCTTTTCACCTGCATCTTGTAATGTGTTGAGGAATTTGGCAAAAAGCTCATCGCCATCCTCCACAGTGCCAAAAGCTGAATGGAGTAGTTCAAGATAAGCTGAAGGCAAAGCTTCAGGGCCCAGAGGTTTCACCACGTTGGCAGCAGGCGGTACAAGACTGTCTACAATTTTCCGCGAGCGTTGCAAGTCAGACAGATTGGGATCTTGAAGTATGAGCTCTACACTGTGGCGCCATGTATCAAAGTCCACCTCATGACTAGGACAGGGCAGTTTGCCTGAAAAATTTCTGAGGCGGAAGGAGGCGCTCACTGGTGAGACAAGAGCTTCACTTCGCACTATGTGCTCTACTACAACTTTTTGCACATCAGGGTGTGTTATAAAGCTCTGTGGAATGGTAGTTTGTAGATCTGGTTGTGTCTGGTCGACTGACTCAGAATCGCTGATGCATATGTTAGCTTTGATCAGTTCTGCAGTTTCACTTTGGATCGGTTGGTCATTTGCTTGCACTTGGGTTGTTAGTTCACTTTGTGCGTCTGGGGTAGGAGCTTCTGTGCTGTGTGTGACTGACTGAGCACATTGGGAAAGGTGTTCATGCAGAACAGCTTCAAAAGATTTGCCACTAAGTCTAGCAATGTTCTGCAGTTCATTGAAAAAACTGTTGGTGGCGACGTTGGTAACAGCTGCGATGTACTCAGGTGACAGGGCTCGTATCTGATAAGTGACTTCATTCGGACATTCAAGTGTGTAGGGTAGTAAGGGTTCAAGTGTCGACAGAGCAGATCCACTCTCATACTCTACGATAGCATTTTTGTGGTAAGAAGACTTAGGGTCATCTATCTTAAGGGTTCTCGCTGTTCGACCATATCTGCTTAAAAAGTCTTTTAAAGCTTCATCAGCGTCTGTGCCTGTAATCCCACTAACAATAACTGAGTTTGGGATTTTAACATTTTCTCTGTCAACTATTTCCATTTTGCCGGACTTGGCCTATTTTTGAGGTCTGGGTCAAGAAAAAAAAGCTTGAGGGATCAATTACTGCTCCTGGCTGGCTCGCCACTTCTGTAACACTTCTGGAGTCGTTACAGTATACTAGGACCAGTTAGGTTCGACTACTAGAGCAGTAATGAGCGTAGCATGTAATAAAGACCACAGACCAGTAAATACGTTTAAATTGCCGGCTTATTATTGTGTGAAGACAGAGAATAGACAGTTATAGACACAATACATAAAACATTCAACATCATACATTTAAGAAAACAAGGTTTTCTTTCCCCCCTTTTAGTTCAGTATGTTCTGTTAGTTCATCCTATTTATCTCAAAACCTTTTATTTGGCTTTAGAAGGATGTTATTTTCAACCTAGGTTATTGTTTTATTTATTTCAAGTTCTAAGTTCAAGTTTATCCTTTGATCTATTTGCATTAACACTGTGTTATTTTAAATCAAGTTCAGTTCTTTAGGCCCAAGATTTAATTTAATCTTGGTCCAGGTTCACCTTTAAATTCTCAACCAGTTCTTACTTTGTTTTAACCTAACAAAATTATTTACATTTCCATTAACACCATTACAGCATTAAAATGTAAGGTTGACCAAAATAAATTACAAAAATAAATAAATAAATGTAAAACTGAAAACGATTCAGCAAAAGGCTGAATAAATCCCTTAAACAAACAAATAAACAAAAGAAAGTTGTCTCTGTGTCCTTTAACTATTAATCCTGGAATTACTCCGAATGATTATCCAGTGCTTTGAAAGTCCGCTGTTCTTTTGCAGAGGTGTATGGATTAATCCTACCAGTTTTTCAGCGAAAGAGCTCAACGTCCAGCAGGGGGCGTTTTCCTTTTCCTGCTTGGTACAGTTCAATGGGTCCGTGGGTGGCTCGCCATCTTGTTTCTCGCTCAGCGCTCTTCCTGGTGTCAGTAGCAAATCCAGTGCCATTGCTTGACGGTCTAATAATTTTGGAAGAGTTACGTTGCCAAGAAACTGGTCAATTTCATTTTTAGACGGGTTTATTTGTGGTGACTATAAAGTTTCATAGAAATCCCTAAAAATGTTGTTTATTCTTTCAGGTTCATATATTGTGTTCCCAGATAAATCTTTAACAGCACATATAGTTGTTTTTTCTTTATTTATTTTTAACTGGTTAGCTAGAAATCAACCGGATTTGTTACTGTTCAAAGTTCTGCAAGCAGTCTTTGAACTAGGAAATTATTTTTTCTTTTTTATTAATAATTTCAATTCTAGTTTTGTCTTGCATATTTTGTTTGATATTTCCTGATATTGTTTCCTGATATATTCCAATATACTGTTTGATTATATTTGTGGACTGACAGTTACGCTGAGTTCCTGTTGTGTTGAGCCTTTTTTCATATTCTTAAATTCTTGTTTTAATAGTCTAAAGTTGTGGACTGTGCACACTGGCTGTGTATTTTTGTGATGTAACCAAACCTTTTCTGTCCCTCTCAAAAAGCCCAAGGAATCACAAGAACAAAGACTTTGTTTTTTTTAGCTGCAGACTTCCTAATGTACAGCCTCAACAAGATATTTTGTGGACTGGAGAAGTATGAAGGTGAGACAACTCAGCAGACTACACCTGATTAAACAGATTAATTTGTGCAAAAGAAGAATGCTTTTTAGTTTTAGCACCAAAAATGTGTCCTTTTTTCCCCCCAATAGGCCTAGAGTGAGAAGTTTCCTAAAAATTCAAACCGCAATGTCCTGTCCTCGTGTTCCACATACATTTATATTCATATTTCAACTGGCTAATCCCATGAAACTCCACAAATTTAGCTTTCTTTTACTTTGCCATGTGGTGAGGGTCCTGTGACCAGGAGTCAAAATTTGGGATCAGGTATGCAGTCACAGGCAGCTTGCAGCCCCACCTACCAGATTGCCTGCTGTTGTGTTGACTGAGAACTGCAGCAGACAAAGAATGAAAAAGCATGGATTCCCTGGGCCAAAGGCCCGCACAGTGGGCTTTGCACTCCCTGACTGGCCTAGAGAGAAAGGAATGGCTCAGTCAGCAAGCCAAGGCCACTGAAGCGATGAAAAGATAATTCAACACCCCCACCCCCACCCCCCCGCCACCCCCCCAGCTCCTGGACCTCATGCAGCGTCAAACCATTTGTGAGCAGTGACAGAGCCAGATTGGGCCGAAAGGATATGAGTGGGAAACTTCAAAACCTGCTCATATTTCTGTGGATGTGAAAGGATTTGTATAACACATTCAGTTTTGATGGACTTTCCCATGTTCAATCCAGACAACCCTTTTTGTTGACACGTTCAAATAATGAATCTGTTATGTGTATGGTCCCTTTTTCCCTCCTGCTCATGAGTTCTGTTTCTAGTTGTCAGGTAGGGATGCTGTGCAGACCACTCCATCGTCTGTCCCAGGCTTATGGAGAACCGCTCACTTGCTGGCTGCCAGGAACCAGGGTGAGTAGTTCTCCCTCTCACAGAACAACTGTTTGCTTTTGTAGGTGAGGGTTTTATTAACTACATAATCTGCTACAAACTAGTTTTAATTTAACAGTTTCCAGAGGACTTTCAATCATTGTAATTGTCACTGAGGCCTCATTTAAAACTGTATCAGTTTCTTATAACTTGCCAAAGCTGTGGGTGCTCAGTGAATGTATTTGGTATGAATATAAAAAATGTTCAACTTAAGGGAAAACTGTAAATCTTCCCTCCTGCCATTAGTGCATGTAAAACAGATTTTACTTTCTGTCTTCCTACATGAGACGTTGTATTTTCTAAAGTGAAAAATGAATTTTAATTCAGTTTTATTTATATAGTGGCAATTCACAACAACAGTTGCCTCGGTGCACTTTATACTGTAAGGTAAAGACCCCACAATATAAAACAAATGGTGTTGATTGGATTATTCACATTACATTATTGATCTGTTTCAGGTGCTGAAATGGAACATATATTTGTCATTTTTTTAATGTTTAGTAAGGCCTTTTCAGTTGGAGCTCAATTCAATGGATACAACTGTGATGCAAATTTTCACAGCCGCTTCCCTGGTGAGGACTTAAAGACTTTTGTTTTGTGAATAACTGAATAGAAATTATGTTAACATTCTAAAAATGTGAAAAAAAATTCTTTTGGACTACCTACATGTTCCAAAGATGAGGTGATAAGTTTTTTGGACACCAGTATTATGACATACAAAACTAAATGTTACAGACTGTAATCCCAGAAGCTAAATCTTTTTTTTTTCTTTTTTTGGGGGGGAGAGAGAGAGAGAGAGAGAGAGAGAGAGAGAAATGTACTATTGTAAAATACACAATTTATGTACATATTTATGTACATTAGATTTTTTGGCTTCTTTTCCAGCTGAGAGAGATATCAGTGTATACTGTGGGGTCCAGACCATTACCCTCAAGATCAATTTTTGCCCTGTTCTCTTCTCTGGCTACACTGACACCGACCTAGCCCTTAATGGTCGCCATGGAGATGCCCACTGCAGAGGCTTTATCAATAACAACACCTTCCCCACTGTTGTAATCTTTAGCATCAGCCTGGCAACACTTGAGTCCTGTGGTAATTCTTTGGTGGTAAGAAAAACATTTTCTTTTTTGTATTAACTGCTCTTACTAAATTACACACACACACACACACACACACACACACACACACACACACACACACACACACACACACATATATCTATATCTATATATATATATATATAGAGAGAGAGAGAGAGAGAGAGAGAGAGAGAGATATGTACTTCAATCAAGCTTTTCTTGATCTTGAGAACTTTTCTTTTTATCCTGCACAATGTCCAACCCTTCTTATCTTAGTAAAAGAGCTGGAGCAGGAATTTTACTCATACTGGTGTTGCTTACAGGTGTTAACTGCTCAAGGACCCAATGCTTATGGGAACCTGTCCCTGGTGCAGATTGGAAACATATCAGGGTATATTGATACACCAGACCCTCCAACCATCATCAGCTATCTGCCAGGTCTGCTGTATAAGTTTAGCTGCAGCTACCCATTGGAATACCTAGTCAACAATACACAGCTGGCCTCGTAAGTCTCACTCATACCTTTAAGCTTGTTTGATACCGTGATCCTATATACATGTAAGTTTCAATCATTATATCAATTGGCAGACAAAAAAAGAAGCAGTTTAATAATAAGTTAATAATAACAATAAAAAAATAATAATAACAACAATATTAATAAAAACAATACTAATAATAATAATGAAAATTTATAATATAAAGTTATTAAGTTCCACACAATACAACAGAATTTTTTTGTTGTTGTTGTTTTCATGAAATACAACCCAAAATACAGTTTGTTACATATTTCCAGATTTTAGGTCCTCGACCCCACAAAAAGTCCAATTCAGATTACATATATTAACTTCTAAAAGGAGATATTGGAAATGTTTGGTCAGGAAAGTGTATATGTTAACCTGAAAGAGTGACGTATAGGCATGGTTTTAAAGACAAGGATTCCTCAATGTTATGTAAATTTTAATATAAAAATGTAATTTTAAAATACTGATGCTACCATAATTACTGTTAACTTTCATAATGTTTTAGGTACTTACTTCTTTTTTCCTTTATCTTGACTGTAGGTCATCAGCTGCAATCTCAGTGAAGGAAAGCAATGGCACTTTCATTAGCACATTGAATCTCCTGCTTTATAATGTAAGTTCACAACAGTGAGTTATAAATGTTCATTTGTGTTGTACAGGTGATCTTAGTCTGTTGCACCAAAGATAAAGCCATACTTGTATGCATAAAGTGAACATAAAGAAACTCTGCATCTATGTAAAGTTGATCTCTACCTCTTACAGATGTATGCATCAATTGTCCATGTACAAAATAAGAATGATGCCAGATTCCCAGAAATTCTTGTTATACAGTTGATGTAAAAAGCAAATTATTGCTAATACTGTAATTATACAAACGTATACAAAATTTACTCTTACTCTTACCCTAAATCCACTTGAATTAAACACTAGGGCTACATCGAATTATTTAGAAAATAAATGTCTAAAAAGCAAATAAATCACTGTCAGTTGGGTGGACGCGAAGAGCCATGTAATATCACATCTATGCTTAAATGACAATTTGCTTTTTATACAGGACTCATCATATATTCAGCAGTTGTCCATCCCAATGGCAGGACTGACCCTGAAGACACGCATATTTGCAGCTGTAAAAGCCACTAATCTGGATAGAAGGTATTCAGTCACAATGTAGCCTTTCAGCCTAAATATGCCACCCACACAATGACTCATTAAACTATGATACATGATGACTTTCATCTGTGCATAAAAGCACTGAATATGTTAAAATAATACATTGACATTATTCATTGTAAATGAACTGATTCTTATATAGTATTTTTCTAGTTTAGCGCTCAAACCTCCTTATACAACATGCCTCATTCACCGTCTAATGTTCACACTTCAATGACTGTACTGTAGAGCAACTTGGGGTTCAGTGTTCTGCCTTCTGATTGGTAGATGACCTTCTCTACCTCCTGAGCAACAGACGTCCAGCTTACATTACCTAGTATTCTTAAGTGTTCTCATATCAAAGTACTAATCAGGCCCACCTGTGCTTAGCTTCTGTCATCAGATGAGATACATGACCCCCCCCCACGCACACACACACACGCATGCATGTTGGGTTAACTGATAATTCTGTTTTGGGCTCTGAAAGCTAGGATAGGCTCCAGCACCCTGTGACCCTTAACTGTATAAACAGCTAAGAAAATGGTCTCTCAGCATAAAATAAAAGGCTACATTTATGTTATTTCTAACATAGATGTAAATGTAATTTCTAATTTTCATGTTCGTTTATAGTCAGTGTTGAGGAGTAAACCTACGCATACGGATCAGTATTTAAGGTTTGACTCTCATCGTCCACTGGAGCATAAACAACATAGAGCCAACACCATCCCCGCAGACACAGTGGCCAGGGAAGCAGAAGAACATCACATCAAGAAGGCCCTGAGGAAATGTGGTTATCCCAGCTGGACATTTGTCAAAGCTGGGAAGGCGCCTAAAGAAAGCTCCAGCCGATCAAGGAGAGAAGGACAACAGCTGACTAAGCAAAAGCCTGTAGTTATCCCGTACATGTCAGGAGTATCGAAATACTTGAGACGCATTTTCTAAACACTGCGTCTCTGTGGCTTTTAAACCGCAAAACACGCTGCGCCAAAAATTGGTCCACCCCAAGGATGGGGTCCCCCAGAACAGAGTAACTAAGGCTACGTTCACACTGCAGGTGAAATCGCATCAAATCCGACTTTTCTGACCCTATGCAACCCATGGTATGACAGCGTGAACAGCACAAATCCGATATTTTCAAATCCCACCTGGGTCACTTTCATATGTGGTACTGAATCCGATACACAACTGATGTTTGAGAAAGCGACTGCTGTTTGAATGGTCATGTTGCATTAAATCCGTCTTTTACGTTGCTGACACAAGACAGACGCCAATTATCAGCGCCGGTGAAGCACCCCAGAAGACGTGAACGCTTCCTGGCCATCCAGTGTAGATGTTAGTGAAACTGTTGAGAAGACAACGCTGGAAAAACGTGAACATTGTATTTGTACTGTATAATCTGCAGATTCTGACAGAAATCTGCAACTATCCTTTGAAGCACCACTCCTCTCTTAAACAGCAATAAGGATAATTATTAAGCCATATGAAAATAACAAAATAACTTTATAACTTAAAACAAAACTGGGTGATCAATCAGTGATCACTGTCAGCCTCTTTCGGCTTTTATTAACACTAATCTTTTTAAAGCTCAGTTTTTAAAACCTTACGATGTAAGTACAGCCCAGCCCATACAGCAGTATATGAATGACTAACCTGGTATTGTGGATGGATTATCTCAGTTGTTCTCCTGGCTGAAGTTTGGTCTGTTTACAGCATCCTGCCATGCGATTACATTTGTTCCTGACCACCAAGAATCCTCACGTTAACTTTTATTGAGTTGAAAAAAGCGTGTTTATATTATGCTCATATAGCCGTGTCGCTAGTGGTCACGTAGCACATCGTTATATACCAGCTAGCCAAACTTAAGTAACCCTACAAACGTCAATGCTGTTTAGTTTTCTGTCTTCATTTATGTCGGAGCTGTACGTTTGAATTTGTTTCCAAAATCCCTCAGTCAGGACATGCTATATTATTGGCATTATTAGTATTTAGAAGGAAGCTAGTGAGCTAACTTCCTGCTAATTTCTAACTCCGTTAAATGTCATAAATTCCGTTTTCATGGATGCCTGGATGTTAAGCTGAGTTGTTACACCTGGTAGAGCAGAACGCTGATCATTTTATTACAGATGAAAGACTTAAGACAGTTTTTCAACTCTCGGTGACGCCACAGTGATTGTTTGATTTATGGACCCACACTGGAGTTGAGCCCAGACAAGGCTAGTGACGTCAGACTTAAAGACCAGGGCCATCAGTCAAACAATACTGTTTGGTCTGGGTCTAAACAGAGCGCGTTGTGTGTAACATCTTCTTTTGCGCATGCGGGCCACTGAGGGTTCACACTTTGCTGTCACATTTTATTTGTAGTGTGAACAAGCAGAAAAAAAATCGGATTTGATCAAAAAATTTGAATTGAGCATAAAGACCTGCAGTGTGAATGTAGCCATAGCATATGCTGTTAAGTGCCAGGAGGATTGCCAGGATTTATACATCAGGGAAACCAAACAACTCCTTCCGAAGCAGATGGCACAAAACAGAAGAGTTACCTCATCAGGCCAGTGGACACTCTTTCAATGATGAGGATTACACATCCTGGACAGGAAGGAACACTGGTTTGAGCGCGGAGTCAAGGAGGCCATTTACGTGAAAAGGGAAAGACCATTTCTGAATCGAGGAGGGGGCCTAAGGGTACATCTTTCACCATCTTACAATGGCTGTGATTGCAGCCATTCCCCAACTCTCTGTGAATGGTACTCATGGCCATTGATCAGTGGTTGTTGATCAAAAAATTTGAATTGAGCATAAAGACCTGCAGTGTGAATGTAGCCATAGCGTATGCTGTCAAGTCATGAGAATTTGACTAATCATGATGAAGGTGACCTCCTGTCCCATTGTTCCTCAGTGGGCTGGTTTCAGTCATTATGCAAATGTACTGTTTATAACAGGGGTCAGCAACCCTGGGCACGTGTGCCACAACTGGCACGCGAAGGGTTAACTGATGGCACAACCATAGCTGGACTGGCCATTGGGCATACCGGATGGTGATTTTTCGTTTCTATGGGCCGAAGGTTTTTTTCTTTTTTGTAACGGTATAAACAATGAAAGGTGGTGGATTGGCCAGATGGTGGCCAATGTGTAAAAATAAGTCAGTTGTTTGGTGGTGGCTATGGCGGAGCTTTCACAGAGGCCAGCAGGTGGAAAGGGGAGGCAGGAGAAGGAGAGACCCGAGGCGGCCGCTGTGTCCAAGTGTCAGGTGAACTGACACTTGGACTGACACTAAGAAGTTATGAACTGCAGTCTATCTGGGTCAGATATAAACCAAGTTTAGGTGGAGTTTATTCTTTGCAGAAAAGTTTGCAGAACTACGAACGCAGCTGGAATCCACAGCTGTGCGTGTTCATGGAGCTTGCATTTTCACCTGCTGGACATCACTACCTGACAAGTTTAACTGTCTTCAGAACATTGCAGAGGCCTTATTGACAGTATTTGGTTCTACATATCTGTGTGAGCAGATTTTCTCTCACACAATGAGTGTCCTCAGGTAGCCGTCTGAATGCTGGACACTCGGAGACCTGTGTCTCTGAGTGGGAGACCAGAGATCACATTAACATGTGTATCCCTGTATTAACAAACATGCCATATTGGCCCAGTTTATTTTTCTTATCATTGTTGTGAGGAGACCATAAATAGCATTTGCATTTTCTGTTGTACAGTTCATTTGCTGTTATGGAGTTCTTGTTATGGATAAAAATGTCTTTTTTGTTTCAAAATAGCTGATAACTATTCGCTGATAGCTGCCAACATCTGCGAACAAATATAATTCTATAAAGTTGTTCTATATAGTGTGTAACTGTTAATATAGAGCGTTATTAAATTTATTGACTAATGCAATCAAATGGCACATTGACTTCTGAGGAAATTTTAGATGGCACTCATCATCAGAAAGGTTGCCTACCCCTGGTTTATAAGATTGGGGAAACCTGCAGTCATCTGAGACTGAAGAAGTCACTTGGATGAGTGACAAAACGTTTCTCCCACTTTAAAAGCTACGTCCAGATTAAGAGAACCAACTTTTGGAGATACACACAGAATAGTTTCCTATATCGAGATTGTGCAAAAAGTGCAGCCTTACCTAATGTCCACCTACTGTTACTCATTTTATATTAAGATTTAAAAATCTAGTTGGTATTGGTATGGCGAGTAACCTTCAGTAATAGTAATAAATCACACAGCAATAGTACATTCATGTAGTTGTAAAAAGCATGATAATATATTAAGTAATCCAAAGTATTCAGAATACGTTACTCTCATTGAGTAACGTAACGAATACGTTACAAAATACATTTTGGGGCATGTATTCTGTAATCTGTAGTGGAATACATTTTAAAAGTAACCTTCCCAACACTGTTTATAGTTTAAGTTCAATGAAGCAAGACACAATTTTAACCAAAAATCCAGAAAAAAATCCCCACATTACATAAACTTATAAATGGATTTTCATATAATTGAGTTAAGTATGCCTTTGAATCCCTACAATCTAGATAAAATTCTGGCTCCCAGAGATTAGATTACAATCAATTAATCAGTTTCAGAAACAGATACAGACCACCAATCAATTACAGATAGTCAGCTTATTATGTTTATAAAGCACACTTGCCCACTGAATAAAAAATCTTTAATTCCAACTTCTTCCACTACCATGGAGAAGACCAAAGAGCTGTCAGAGTTTGTCATGAGCAAGACTGTAGATCTGCATGTGGCTCAAATGACCATCAGCAAGAAGTTAGATAAGAAGGTGACAACAGCTGGTGCAGTTAATTAGATATGGAAGAAAGGCCATCAATCACCCTCTATCTGGAGCTCCATACAAGTTGTTGTCTCATGGGGTGAGGAGGATCATGAGAAAGATGGGACATTAGCCCAAAACTATGAACTTGTTAATGATGTGAAGGCAGCTGGAACCACAGTCACCAAAAACATAATTGGTAACACACTGCACTATATTGGACAGGTCTGGCATTGCCTACACCTGCTCACCCTGCTCAAGACAGCCTTGAACATCTAAATGTTTCAGAGAAGACTTAGGACAAAGTGTTGTGGTAGGATGAAAACAAACTCAAGCTCTTTGGCATCAACTTGTCACACCGTGTTTGGAGGAAGCAAAATACTAAATATCACCAAAAGAATGTACAGTCAAGCTACAGGACAGGCATAGACATCGCGTCGGATCATCTGGTAGTCATGCTGTGGAGCTGTTTTTATGCTAATGGATGACTTCACTACATTAACAAGCCAATAGGCTGTAAAATTTTGGATGAGAGCGTCCTTCCCTCAACCAGAACACTAAAAATGAATCATGGATCATGGGGCGATCGTGGCTCAAGAGTTGGGAGTTGCCTTGTAATCGGAAGGTTGCCGGTTCGAGCCCCGGCTTGGACAGTCTTGGTCGTTGTGTCCTTGGGCAAGACACTTCACCCGTTGCCTACTGGTGGTGGTCAGAGGGCCCGGTGGCGCCAGTGTCCGGCAGCCTCGCCTCTGTCAGTGCGCCCCAGGGTGGCTGTGGCTACAATGTAGCTTGCCATCACCAGTGTGTGAATGGTGGATGACTGGATATGTAAAGCGCTTTGGGGTCCTTAGGGACTAGTAAAGCGCTATATAAATACAGGCCATTTACCAATTTACCATTACAACCAAAAACACAGAATCATGACAACAAAGGAGGGGAGAAAAGGAAGCAGCTGAGGAAGTTGAAGCTTTGAGTTGCCAAGAGGCAACCAAGTAACCTAAGGACATGTGCAAGTTTCTGCATAGAGGAATAGGCCACAATCCCTCCTTTGATGTATGCAAACCAGGTGACCAACTACAGAAATGTAAACAAGGGTTTATTTATCAAGTACTGAATCATATTTTTCTCCTCGACACAGTTTGCATTTCACCATGTGCTTTTGTACCATTGCAATCAGTAAATAAATAGTGTCCACAATTTAGCTATAGACCAAACCACAATTTTCTTCCTCCTGCACAAGAAATGATTTAACTTGCGCTGCAATTAGCTGAATCAGCTGAATCAGCTCAGAGCAAAGGAATAAAAGGGCATATTTGATTGTTGTTGTTGTTCTTCTTCTTCTTTCTATCCTACCAGTGTGCAGAGACCTGAAGAGCTTTTGTACTAAAACTTTGTAATAAATACAATCCACCCACATACATGCCAACCCTCCCGATTTTTTCCGGGAGAATCCCGAATTTCAGTGACCCTTCCGAAAATCTCCCGAGCAACCATTCTCCTGAATTTCTCCCGATTTTCCACCCGGACAACAAAATTGAATCAGTTCGGCTGAGATTTAAATTATTAGATTAGATTAGATTAGATTAGATTAGATTAGATTAGATTAGATTAGATTAGATTAATCCCTCAGGAGGGTTCCTCCGGGGTTTTTAGACAGCTGAATAAACGTCAAACAGAAAACGTAATAAACAGAAGTGTGAGATGGTTGAGAATTTATGCCAGCGTCTGGTTTATTTTAGATAGCAAGGAGTAGACGGCAGAGTTTCACACCACCGAGAGAGCTCTTTTATCCGATAAATTAACACTGTAAAGTACCAGTTTTTTGTATATAAATGTATATGTATACCACTTTCTGAGGTCTCAAGTTTGGCAAGTATGCACCAGGGGTGAGAGGGAGTTTCTTTTCTTTTTTTTTGCTTGATTGTTTGTTTTTATACAATACTAAAAAATACATAAACAATTTTTAAATGGACTTTATCATGAATTAAATGACCCTTCTGGGATATTGATCTAGTTCGCAGGTGGGTTTAGCCAGTTTCAGTCTGAGGCTTTAAGAAGAACGTAGCACTTTTTAGACACTTCTTTTTTGTTAGACTGCAAAATCAGCACTGTCTATTAACGTTACTGATGGGTAGGACCAATAACATTAGTTGCTAATAATAACTTGAATAATAATTGAATAATAACTTAAGTTAAACTGAGAACATTAATGTATCCACTGGCCAAGTTAACAGTTACCATAACTGTTTAGTATTTTAGTGTTGTGTTGTTGGAATGCCCATCTGCAATGTTGCTCTATGAAGTTGTGTCACACCTAGAGGAGGTAAAGAAGGCACTATTGGTATTGCTACTGTTATAAATAAGCATCTAATTCAATAATGGGTTTTAGTATCCATTATTATCCAAAAATGTTTTTTTTTCACAACTTTGCTCTGGAGGCACCATTTCCACATAAGGCTGCATACTGAAACAGAGTTATCCTAAAACAGGTTGTACCATGTTCTGTTCCTTTGTTCTGCTTTTAATCACATTTTTGTGCAAATTAGATGGAACATTCTAATGGACTACTGTTACACCACACCTTCTGGAAATCCTAATGATGACCTGCGTTACGATCTTTTCTTTAGGTAACTCCAGTACAATAACAGGCCCATGATTGTGTAAAACTCTGACTCTGACTATCCTTGACAATGTTTAATAGTCTTCTCTAATGTTGCTTTTCTGAACTAGTTGTGAAAAAGACCCCCAGACCACAGTGTTTGAGAATGGGAAGAGCCAGATGGGTCGTTTTGCCTTTGAAGTATTCCGCTTTGTAAAGCACAAGAACCAGAAGATGTCCACTGTCTTCCTACACTGTGTCACCAAGCTGTGCCGAGCAGATGATTGTGCAATGCTGATGCCAGTGAGATTGGATACTGACACACTCACACATAAAAAAAAAATCTTGGGATAAAATATAACACAATAATCTTGTTAGAGTCACCTTCATTTCAAAATGGAAAACTCCATTGACATTATTATTATTATTATTATTATTATTATTATTATTATTATTATTATCATTATTACTTAGGTTAAAATACGTAAGCTCATTTACAAATTCTTAAAAACAATTGGGAAATACTTCTACTGTACATTCTTTTCCATTACAGTTTATACCTCTCATAGTTTTTTATATTCACTCTACATTCAAAGGGTAAGTATACGTTTATTTGAATTAATAAATACTAGTTCCATTATGTTTTCCTACAAAGCATATACTGCATCATTGCATCTAATTTAATATTAATTATAGAAATAGTTTATTTCTTGAATATAAACATCAGCTTCACTTCAGCATTCATAAATTCAGTTCTTCAAGTATAGTTAGGTGCTCATAGAAACATTCCTTGTAATCACAATGGGCATTTCATAAAGCATCTGTATGTGATAAAGGATTCGTTACACAGCAAAGTTCATTGTAATAAATTTGCTGGAGCTAATCTGATGCTTCAGTATACAGTGTTAGATGAATGTCCACCTCTTCTCACCCCAACACATCGCAGCAGATGGCCGCCCCTCCCTGAGCCTGGTTCTGCTGGAACTTTCTTCCTATTAAAAGGGAGTTTTTCCTTCCCACTGTCACTAAAGAGTTGCTCGTAGAAGCAATTAGTTGACCAGATTACATTCATATTTCTTCAGACTAAGTGACTGTCTGACTTTCCAAACAGACTGAGATTTCCAAATGGTCCTTCCATAGAGTCTAACAGACAGCAGTACTGTTATTGAACAGTGGTGAGGGCACAGCAGTTACAAGATATAACAGGTTATTAGCCTACATTCCTCATTTTTCAGACAGTACGATGTCTTGAAAGACACCTGAGCATCTAGATTTCATGTTTCACCATGAATCATCATGGAGCATTGTGGAGCGACTAGAGTGGAAGAAAACAGGTCTACTTTATACAGATGACAAGCTGAGATCAATAGTAGTTGTAACTGAATGATTGATTAGTTCTGTGTCTCCCCATTATACAATAATAAAACTACCAAAAATATTAGAGACTGTTCATTTGAGCAAAGGGGATCAAATCATTATTTCCCTCACTGCAGAATAAGGGGTTAGATATTCCTCCGATATCAAATTGGACACATATCTTGGCAACATCGATGGGTTATATTAGTAGTCTGTGTCCTGAATTCCTCATCATAAGAACATACACCACATGAGAGAGGACTCATTCTTTCTGTGTAATATTTTCATAGATCTGTGGCAGCAGGAAAAAGAGAGATGTCTCTGAGGGAAAGGGATCAAATGCTGCATCTGGAAACGCCATCCTGACTGCTGGGCCTATCATAACTCGGAGTGGTATAGTTTAATAACACTCTCGCCTAACATTTCCACAGCTGAATATTTTTTACTGATTATCCAATGTATTACAAGACACTAATGTATGTCAAAATCCAAGATTTGACACCTAAATGTTGACTAAAGTTGAAAGCTTGTCTGGGTGACCTAGGATTTTCAAAACAGTACGTTAGACAAGGCATCCTTGTCTATCGTACTGTATACACGCGAATGAAAGAAACTATATACCATATGGATTACAGTGTGCTGAAATGCCATGTCTTTGTTTTTCACAGATGAAATACCAGCCAATAATTCTCAGCTGGGTAAGTCTTGTCATTCTGTTCAATAAGTGGTATGATGCTTTTGTGTGTTGTTCTACTTTTAAAGGTTATAAGATATTTGTGTTTTCACTGGGAGAAACATTTTCACTCATCCAAGTGACTTCTTTAGTCATAGCTGACTGCAGATTTTCCTACCTTATAAAAAGGACTAACTAACGCACTACTAATTAACAATGGGCTGTAATATCAATTTTATAATCATTAACATGCAAATCTGTATGACTAGGGATGGGTATCGAAAACCGGTTCTTGTTGAGAACCGGTTCCCACTGTTTCAATTCCTTGGAATTGTTTGCCATTTTTGCAAACGATTCCCTTATCGATTCCAGTCGCCCCGAATGACGTCACCACGTTGCGGAGCGTCATTTACCTGGCAGGAAACATGGCGGCTCAAATGCTCAAAAGTTTGATTATACTTTACGAGAACGGATGACAACAGGGCAACTTGCAATACTTGCAAAGTAGATATTTCATTTAAGGGAGGAAACACTACGAATATGCAAAAGCATTTGCTCACAAAACACACGATGACCTTAAATGAATGTCGTGTTTTTAATTCCGCTCCGACTCGTGAATCTCAACCCAGCAGCAGCGGTAACGTTTGCACGTCCTCTCCCGTTAATGCGGCAGGTAAATAATCAACTAACAGTGCATATTATGTTAGCGCGATCTGCCTTATTACAAAACCTGCCATTACTGTGCATTTAGGTGACCATGATGAGAGAGACAGACAGAGTCTGGCTCAGATGCTGGCAGTTCTCGCTGCAGTCTACCGGTAGCGTCTCCTTTCAGGCCAGGATAGACGAATGTCACCGAGCAGTGACTAAGTTTGTGGTAAAAGGCTTGCACCCATTTGCCACAGCAGATGGTAAGTGAATGTGTTTAATTGTAGGCAGGAACATTACTGGATATTCTTGTGTAATTGCTACAGAATAATTTATGTTATACTTTGTTATTGCTACAGAAGAATATTTATTTTATTATTTTACATTTACATTTTTTTTTCCTGGGGACCCTGTGACACCCCATTGAAGAGCCGTAGGCTGGATCTCTTAAGATCTCACTGTTGGGTTTGTAAGGCCATGTTACTCCTAAATTTCTATCTTGTTCAAAGAGAAGATATAAAACAAAGTTCTAAGCTAATCGACCTTAGTGTTCTCCTTTTTAAAAAGAAAGAAAAAGAGAGCGAGAGAGAGCGGCCCTGCTAGGGCCGTAACAATACCCATCCGTAGTCATGACCCTTGATCGCTGGCCATGAGTACCATTAGAAGATTTCCAGCATGTTTGGAATCACAGCATTGTATGGTACATCTTTTACCATTTTACAATGCTACAAATGCATTATGAGCTGGTGAAACCTGCAGCCAGCTGAGACTGAAGAAGTCTGGATGAGTGATGAAATGTTTCCCCAACTGAAAATACTATGTTCAGATGAACAGAATCAACCTTTGGGATTTCCTTAACTGGATGATTCCACAATAATCTAGACAGGAACATATACCCTTCTGCAATGCCTGCGCATACTATATTCCTCAGGATTCATTTTATTGTTCAGCCAGTATATTGCTTTAGTTGTTATTGAAAATCAAATACTGAGCCGGGATGTCTCAATCTGACATTAAAAGTTGTGTCATTTCTCATTGGAATGGCAAAAAAGGTATTAGTGTTTTAACACTCACTGCTATTTGGCATTTTGCATGAACTTAAGAAAAAGCATTGAGAATGTGAAAGACATTTTTACATTTTGGAATGTTTCTTTGTGTTTGTGCTGCTTAGCCCATCTTAAAGCTCCAGTGTTTCACACAAATACAATGACCATCGCACTCATCTCAGGCATGATCATTCTGGGTGTCATGTGCCTATGCTTCTTCATCATGTCCCTCACCCTTCTGAAAGGCAAGAGCGCTCCAGTCGGCACCCTGTCAGGAGTCCGAAACCTAACCTTCAACTGAGTACCTGAACTCACAGATTTCTCATCAGTTCAATGCTAACCAAGAATGCAGAACACACGCTGTCTGTGCATGTGGGCATCAAAGAATTTAACTGTTGAAAAAAAATACCTGTTACCAGGTCTGTACAATGAGTATTAGTGCAGGAGTTAAGTAAAACTGGGTTTTGTGTTCCTATCGCACAAAAAGCTAAGCCTCAGCCTGCATATTTTTCATGCAGCTTTAACCCATTAGTGGGGATACTAAAAACTTACTGCAATACCTCAGCTATACAGTTTTCATTGCAGGGTACGGGATCAATTATATGGCTTGCAGTGCATTATATAGTGTATAATAAACATAGCATTTCCTGAGAGAAATGATAGATATTAGAGAGATAGATTTACTTAATCATTTATTAGGAGTTTTTTTCCCCTAAATATGTATTTCCATCGCTTGATTTAAATATTTTTAGTTACTGTGTTAGCAATAAACTTGATTGTTAAGGATATTTTGTACGTGCTACCTTATGTATAACTTTTCCTTATATGTGGTTAAAATGCAACTTGATTTGTTCACGAAATGTACAAATTGTCTTCAAATGTCCATGTTGCTAATACTGCACCTTGACTTGTTATTAAAACATACCCATTTGCATATTTCTAAACATAAACTATACATTGCCTCTTAAACACTACTGTGGGATTACAAGAATTGATAAATGACTAGCATTGATATAGCTTGTATTTTTACACTACAATCCACATTTATCCATTCATGCACGCATACATGCATTGCTTGGTCAGATCATACAACACTACTATCCAACACACACAGACACATGAACATCAGGTGAGGTGGAGATTGGGGGTGAGCAAGCAAATGTAAATTTCTGCATTACTAATATACAAATCTGATGTAAAATCAGTTTGATTCCTTATCATAGTCCTTAATAACCTCAAAGACCTCTTTGCTTCATGGAGGGGCTTAACTTCCTCTGGGATCATTTATCATTTTAATGTTTCTTTTAATTTTTATAGAAAACCTAAAGCTAATATAACAGAATAGAATTCATTAAAACATTTTGTTTTGTATATATGGATAATTTTATTTAAACGCTTATGTTCCTGTACTGTGCATCCATGAAACGTAAGATGATTCGATCTGCGTCATTTCCGTCTTGCATTTATTTACTTTCCAGCTCTTTGAAACATCATGGCAAAATGTCGAGGAAAAACACCAAGTTTTTTAAATGGACTAACAATGAGGTGGAATTGTTGCTGCGAGTAACACAAGAGTACAAAGTTGGAAAAGCAAGCAAGAATATAAACTGGGAGACGTACCACAACAAATATGCCGAAATTAACATTCCGTCTTCTTTGAAGAAAAACGTGAAAATGTGGAGCATGTACAAACTTATATTAATCTTTAATAGGGCTATGAAAAATGGGGGAAAAACAAAACTGCTGTACAATGCCGTACACCATCTTAGTTGATTGGTTACATGACTGCATCATATGACTAAAATGCGTCATCGTTTTCAAAAGCCTCCGTTTTCGCAATCCACACTGCAGTGTGAAAACAGTGTTTTTAAATTCATCTACAATTTCAAAAAGATCAGTTTTCCTTGACCAAAAAAGCCATCTCAGTGTGCACGGAAGGACAAAACAGAGAGAAAAATATGCGTTTTCAAACGAAAACGTTTGAAAGTGTGGACATGGCCTTAGGCCTGTGAAATACTGGTGACCTTTGAGGGTGTATCTTAAATTTCACCCCATAACAGCTGGGATAGGATCTATCCCAA